TTCGAACGAATCAATAGAATGAATGATTCAGTGATAAAATCAGTGACTTGCCGCCACCTGCTGGCGGATTTAGTTTCTTTCTTTTTTTAATTTAATGGAGACCACAGATGGTTGTCATTCACTGTATTGCAGTAATAGGAAGTCAGTTAATATAAAGACTTTTAGCAAAGTGTTTTTCCCTCGGTTTATTTCACAGTCGTTTATGGAAGCTTATATTTACTCGCATTTCACAGACTTTAACAATCCGAGATACAATCTCTCAGTCAGAACTGAAAGATATAACATTTTAAATGTGGAATTGTGAGATATAAACAAAATGTAAGAAAAAAAGTCAGAATTACCTTTTTTATTTTTTATTCTGTGGCGGCGGGACAAAAAGCCCTCAGAATTCAGAGGAGGAAAAAATTATAATTGCAATAAAAAATTTCAGAATTCTGAGTTTATTTATATATATCGCAATTCTATGTTCTTTCTAGAAATTGTTTCTTTTTTCTCAAAACTGAGAAAGTCGCAATTAGCCCCTATTCTGTGGCAGAAACTGCTTCCATAAAAACTGAAGTCCTGCCTCTGACTGTACTTTAACATATATTTAAATAGAATATTATTTGATTACTCTCGCCATTGTTCGGTTGCCTTCAGAGAATATGTTAAAGGACTGTCCGCTAATACTGTCCCACATAAACTATTCCTGTGTTGCTGGGACAGAGCAACCCGTCAGTTTTAGTTACATTTACTAACTAAAGACATTTTAAACTGGTAAGCCCAAAGGCCCTTTCTGCTGAAATGGCATAACCACACTGCTACTAAAATCTGTTGTTTTGTATATTAAACATATATCGAGAACCGCCGTAATAACACATGATAAATCAAAGCTCTTCACAAACAGAGTGAATGTATAAAGGTGCACACAGTGTTGTAAAATAAATTAATTACATTTCATTTAAATTTTTTTCCAGTGGTTCTCAGGAGGGCATTATTAGTTTATTATAATGTATTATTTATGCATTATGTAAATATTATATATTTAACATTATAACTGAAAATACTTTTTATTACACCCATGCAAGCCCTATATTTGGAGAGTGTCATACTCGGTAAATTACAATAACTAGCTTCTCAAATGAGCTTCTGTGAAACTGATTTGTTTATATTTGCTATTAGTATTCTTCACACTGCAAACTCCATATGTTTAACGTTATTTAACTATGAACGGGTTGGGGGGGGGGGACAAATGCCCTATTGATTTGAAAGGAACGATAGTGTATTTTACGGGACGTTTGGCAGCCCTAATGTAATGTAATGTAGCCCTGTGTAATATAATAACAGCAAAATTATAAACGAGAAAACTATAGAAAACGGGCGCCATCGTATCGTGACGTCACAAAGCGGTGGAGATCACGTGACAGAAAAGGCGCAAAGTTGATACCACTTTCCAACAGACAGGGGTCTTTATCCAAATGCATTTTGACAAAATATATCTATTACGTTATGCTTTTCATTCGCTCTGTTATCTGTTCGCCATACATCATGCCTTTTAGACGTTGCTGCTGTATTTTATTTGTCATATGTGTCAAATAAACGAATGAATCCACACGTTCCTGCTAAGTAAGTTAGACGGTACCATCCGGTCTCGGGTCATAGTTCAAAAGAAGTCTGCAGTGCGTGTTTCGCTCCTGCCGGGTTTTTAATTTCTTTATTTTGGAATAGGTGGACTTTCGTTTTAACTCCTTCAGAAAGATGGCCTCAGGTAAAGATATATAATACATCGTAGTCCATAACGCAGTAATCGTTCTTTATTTGTTTGCTGTTCAGTTTTGTGAGACATAAAAGATGATAACCGCATCGCGCTTAGCATTAGCGGCTAACTAAACTGACGACGCGGTGTTTGATAATGTTTAGGTATAAAACCACATTCACGATAGAAAAAACGATATACGCCTCTTTAATTATGTTTATCTTATGTTTAAGTATACAAAACGAGCTTGGTGGATATGTAAATATACCGAGGATGAGCGTTCAGCCGCGAGCTCAGGGAATGGCGTGGTGTGATTGTTAGCTTAGCATTGCTACTAATGCTCACGCACACGCTTATGTAAGCTACGCGTTTAATTGACTTGATTAACTTTGTTGCGGTGCTGTTTACACTTCATATATTCTGCCTAATTGTTTATTTCTGTTCGCAGATTCAGGCTACGGTCAGCCTGGCGCTCAACAAAGGTTTGAATTATGGGCGTTATAACTTATCTACATAATGAGTAATTGTTATAGATCTGTATTACTGGGTAAATATCCGGGTACGAGACTGTGGCGGCAATGCAGTGCCACGATTTTAGTTTTTTGAAATATTAGCTCATTCGTTTGTTTCAGGATGTGTAATTTCCCCCCTTTTTTCTTTGTGCAGCTACGGGTCTTATGGTGGATCCCAGGCCTATCAAGCTGGACAGGTAATGCTTCATTATGGTTTAGTGTGTGTATAAAATAAAAAATAATAATATATATATATGTGTGTATTAGGGCTGGGCAATATGGGCAAAAATTCATATCTGTATTTTTGGCCCATTTGCTATATACAGTATATATTTCTCTAACATTGTAACATTGCAATCTAAAATCAAAAATAAGGCTTTTAAAGCAGAAGTTAAATTCACTAAACTAAAAATGAAAATAAATGAGGGGGAAAAAGAACAGTAGTTAAGCTATTTTGATTACCCCATTACAGTCAGTGCTATCATAAAAATAGACTTGTAGGTTTAAAATTCTACATGTCACATTTATTGTCCAACTACAAATATTTCAGCGAAATGTATATTTTAGTCAGAATTATTGCGCTCGTTTTGCTGAAGTCTGTGAAGTTTAGCGGAGAATCTCAAAGCAGAAGGCTCATGCACTTCTGACAGGAAAATTGAAATATTTCCATGGCTTTCTAACATTTACAGACGGAGAATGTACCTGTAAGTTATGCATTCAGGAAGACCGCACATCTCAAACACATTAAACCGCGCGAGTAGCCTAGTGTCTCTGTCAGCGGCACACGCAGCCTTTCAGTCAGAGCATATGACGGCCGAGCTGCTTAAACTAATATGCCAAACGAAACCATAAACTGTTTTACCAGTTTTTAAAGGCTTTAATATGAAGCTTGTCACATGTTTAGAACAAATTGGATCATGCACTTTCACCGCCGCAGCTCAGTCTGTGTCCTCCGCTATATTTTCAGATGCGCTCGTATCAAACTACTGTATATCGATATAAACGGTATTGCCTGGAGAATATACCTGTGAAATGTAAGTTATGCATTCAGGAAGACAGCCCATCTCAAACACATTAAACCGCGCGAGTAGCCTAGTGTCTCTGTCAGCGGCACACGCAGCCTTTCAGTCAGAGCATATGACGGCCGAGCCGCTTAAACTAATATGCCAAACGAAACCATAAACTGTTTTACCAGTTTTTAAAGGCCTTAATATGAAGCTTGTCACATGTTTAGAACAAACTGGATTATGCATTTCTCCGCAGCAGCTCAGTCTGTGTCTGCTATATTTTCAGATGCGCTCGTATCAAACTACTGTATATCGATATAAATGGTATTGCCTCGTATCGAATTGCTTATAAAGAAAATATTGATATATTGTACAAACTTGATATACCGCCCAGCCCTAGTGTGTGTGTGTGTATTAGGGATGTGCATCATGACTGAGGCCGATACGATACGCATCTCGATGCATAGCCTACGATACATTAAAGATACATATGAAGCAGCTTGCGATACGATTCACCCGTTACCATGCAGTGCGATCCGATTTCAATTCAATTCAACACAGTGTGATTCGATGCAATGGAGAAAATATGATAACTTTTCATGCCTTGATACCGTCTCAGTTTATACTATTATTATTACATACTATTTTACTTTTTTTTTTATTTTTTATTTTTTTATACAGTTTCTAGCCATGCAGCCTTTCTCTCAGGTTATTACAGCTGTACCTTTTATAGTTTACAGAACATTAGAACATTACAATCTAAAATTGCTCTTTAAAGCATTAAACTAAATTAAATTAAAAGTTAAAATCACTGAATTAAAATAAAGAAAATTACTATATTTTAACTGCTATAAGAAACGCACATTAACTCATTTGAGCTTAGTAATTAGTATACTGTGTCTAGCTTACATTTGATTTACCTATTACAATAGTCCCTTTACAGTTACTGCTATCATAAAAATACACTTATATGTAGGTTTAAAATTCTGCAAAAGACACATTTAATGTCCAGAAACACATATTTTAGCAAAATGTATATTTTACTCAGAATTATTGCGCTCGTATTGATTGCGCTCCATCTGTTTAGCAGCACTCGTTGCTCTTGCGTGCCTCGTCCACTCCTGACAGCAAAATGGATATGTTTGCATGACTTTCTAACATTTACAGATGAAAAATATACTTCATGTCAGTTATGCACTGAGGAAAACACAACGTCTCAAATGCATTAAACAGCACAGATATATTCGGCGTTTGTCATGGTGGATCGATTTGATTCATGGTGGATCGATTTGATCCATGATCGACATTAAGAGCTGCTTAAGAATCTTGGTCACAGATTATTGGTCACTTTCTAAATGACAAAAGTATAGCGCATCCACTAGTAATTATATATAAATGAATCGGTTTTTCCCGATGCAAATATGTTAGAAACAATGCATGGCGATATAAATGACAACTTGTAGCCGATGCGCACTTTTTAAACCAATGCATCGCATCGGTAACTTTTTATGCCGATGCACCGAGCGAATCGGGGAATCTTCCCATCCCTAGTGTGTGTGTGTGTGTGTGTATATATATATATATGTATAAATAAAAAATTTGTGTTTGTATATAACAATATACACTACAGTACAAAAATTTGGGGTCAGTACATTTTTATTCTTTCTTTTTTTGAAAGTAATAAACTTTTATTCAGCAAGGATGTGAAATTGTTAAGAAGTGATGGCAAGCATTTATATTGTTAGAAAAGATTTCTATTTTAAATAAATTCTGTTTTTAACTTTTTATTCATCAAAGAATCCTGAAAAAGTATCGCAGTTTCCAAAAAAAAAAATATGTGTCAGCACAACTGTTGATAATTCTAATAATAAATCAGCATATTAGAATCTGAAGGATCATGTGACAGTTTATACTGGAGTAATGGCTGATGGAAATTCAGCTTTGCATCACAGAAATAAATATTTTAAAGGATATTAAAATAGAAACCATTATTTTATATTGTAATATTTTGCAAGATTACTGTTTTTTTCTTTATTTTTGATCAAATAAATGCAGCCTTGATGAGCAGAAGAGACTTCTTTAAAAAAACATTACAAGTCTTACTGATCCCAGTACATATATACACACACACACATATGGTAGTGTATATGTGTGTGTGTGTATATATTTGTATGTATATGTGTGTATGTTGGCGCTTAATGATTTTGTCTTTTCAGCAGGGATATGGTCAGGGTAATGGGAGCGGCTCTTACAGTGGACAGAGTTACAGTGGTTATGGACAGCCTAGTGGTATGTGGTTTATAAGTGATTTTATGAATGTGTTTAATGATGGATGGTGTGTAATGGACATGATTTCCTGAAGGAGAGAGCTATGGCCAGTCGTCTCAGGGTTACTCCTCTGGTGGTTATGGTCAGCAGCAGCAGCAACAGCAACAACCACCGCAGCAGCAGCCGCAGCAGCAGCAGGGCTATGACAGCTACGGACAGCAGGGATCCGAATCCTCATCTGGGTGAGAGATCGGACTTCTGTCATAGCCACATCTTGTCTCGATCATTATTGATGACAAATGACAAACCGAGTGGGATCTATATAGAATGAATAAACTCCATGAAATTAGTCCCAATGTTGGAAAAAGACATTTCTATCAATTCTCTAACCGATGGGACCAGATTGTTTATGCCCGCTGTATGATAGGTCTTTCCAGGATGATTTTTAATGCTAGGGGAAGATCCTCCAACATGTTCTCTCTGCCGAATCCCTTTATCCATTAAGCATGTTTTATTAGATTGTGCTGGTTTTAACTCCGTTAGAAAACTTTTTTTTATTAAGTTAACTCTTTTGAAGGGATTTTTAACCAAGTTAAGCCAAATACAGTTTTGGAGTTTAGCAAAAATAAGTTGTAAAAACATGATATAATTCAGCCATAATATTTCTCGCCATGAAACTAGCCACAGAAGCTGGAATGGCGTTAAACACAAACAAACTCTTGTTATTGATGACATGTATGTTTACTCTGCTGATTACAGGGTTTCTGCAGGAAGTGTTCGGAAACAGCATTTTTCATATGCCAAACACTGGTTTCTGCCACAGAATGCATAGCCCTGTAATTGTGTAACCATCGTAGTTATTACTACAGTGCAATGTGAAATTCTGCTCCTGATTGGCCTGATTAGCTATATGTGAGAGAGACCGCTCTATTTCATATGAAATTATAGGGATGCATCGATAGGATTTTTTTTGGCCGATACTGCTTTTAACAAACAACTATTGGCTGATATGGATATTGGTCAATTGCATAAAGCAGGGCTTAAAAATTATCGGTTCACTCCAAGCAGAATCGGTTGTTGATCGTTTCTGTTCCTGCGTTCCTCTGTATTACGTTCAGAAACCGGTTTGAGTAGAAAAAAGACCGGTTAATAAGGTTTTTTTTTTTTGGTTTGTTTTTTTTACTTTTACTTTTGCCTATAATAATAATAATAATAATAATAAAGTACAGCGTTTTCTGTACTCAAAGGGAAAAAAGTCTTGATCTGGTGCTTGCTCTTAGTCATAGTCAGTACAGCATCTTTTCTAGATTTTGACCAAGTGTACTAAACAAAAGGAAAAACTGTCAACGCAACACAAATTATAAAAAAAAAAAGCCTACCACTCTAGTTCTGCATGAATCCAAATGTTTCCATATTCGTGACGTATCTGGATGTTAAAGTATTTATGTAAACAATAGGCTTTGTTCTTCACTCGCATTATCATACATGTATTATTTTTTTTTTATCGTTTTTGCCATTAAAATAGCCTGAGATGCTGACATGGCATTAAATAAAAATATACTACTAACTCGCATTGAGGCAAAACATCATTCAAAACTGTAACGCTTTTGCAAAATAAAGAAAACGGTTTTCTGCCGTCTGTTTCCTTTGTGAAATTCGGAGCACTTTACAATGAACCGAAACTCAGCACAATTTTTTTTTTCTTTCGTTTTGTTAATCTGTTAATGATTTAAGTGAAACATATTTAGTGTATAGGCCTATATATTCCTTATGTAGCCTATATAGTTTTATTCAGTTTTCTTCATTCATAGAAGTGCTGCAGGTGCGTGATGTGAGCTTTTGTGATTCCGTGTTCTACACTATCCTGCCATTTTTGCTGGTTTCAAACACACAAAAAGCTGCATATTACATGCCAATCATTTTCACTTAAATGTAGGCCTAATGCTTGGTGGTTTGTGACATCTCCTCGGGTAAACTAACGCCGGGGCACTGCTAATGCGACTTACCTATGATTCATTTCACTCGTTGGATGTGTCAGTGTCACATTTGTATAGGCTGTGCTATGCCGTCTGACAAACTATATTTTGTACAGATTTTTTGTATTTTGTTTTGTATGTATTTAAATTTTTTGCCCAGAGAAAAACGTTGGATTATGCAACAGACATGCACCTCATTGTCTCCATGCAGTTAATTAATAAACCATTGGTATCTGCCCTTTTCATGCTATTTCCAATATGCCGATGGCTTTAAAATAATCAAAAACGGGCAGATAAATATCAGCGGGCGATACATCGGTGCATCCCTAGCCACAAGGTCATTTGGCTGCTGTCAGCGGGACCAGCATCTTTGAACGGTCAACAAGGATCATGATGCACCAGAAAATCTGTTGTTACTAGGGGTTGCACCGACTAATCGACTAGTCAAATTCAATGCTCTGCCATGATGCTTTAAGCTTGACGTCGACTAGTAGCTGGTCCTATAGAGGGCGCAACAGTCTTTGAAGGAATTCCACATTATGCTCTGTTTCCAAACAGTTAAAATGACAAATAAATTAATACTCTGAAAGCGCTCCACAAGACATGTGATTATATTACTGGATGCTCGAAATTGAACTTTTAAATTTTAAATATAAAATTTTTAATACAGAAATGATTCAAATAACTGAAATGATACGCTAAAAATGAAACTATATCCGCCAGCAGGTGGCGGCAATTTATCACTGAATCATTCATTCAATTGATTCGTTCGAACGGCTGAATCATTCAGGAATGATCTTTAT